AGGACGGCACCATTAACCCTACAACACGTCCCTAGCACTGTATCGGAGATTCATCTGAGACGAGAGTGGTCACCAACCTTTATGGTCGGCAAACCAAATACATTTTCTTCATCGAATTTTTCTTCAATTATGGCCGTGAATTGCGTATCGTGGCTCAGTAGCTACTGGGACTTTGCTGTGGACCTGCCCAGACTGGGTGCGGGTGTCTTCTTTGAAGCTCCAGGAAATCAGTCACCTTCGATCCAGTTGGAGACACCTGCCTTAGACTAAAGTCCCCACGTGGGACTTGAACCCTCAACTTTCTGACTCAGAGGCAAGGGCGCTACCTCTGAGCCAGGCTGACACAAGCAAGGGGTCATTCAGGCTCACCTGCCCCTCACTCATTGCATCATTGACTGACCAGCGCCTTGAGATATCCTCCTGACATGAAAGGCACTATATAAACGCAATTTTTCTTATTGACCCACACAATTGGCTGCCACATTTCACCCACAGATATATATATATATACAGTCAATTCACTTTCAAGTATATTCCAGGTCAGGGCGAAACCTTGGGCAAGTTTCCTTACTCCACACAGAGCCTAACAATAATCCCTCCGAAACCAAAAACAATAATAAATTGGTCATTTTCAATCCACGACTGTTTGTGGGGACGCTGCTGTGCGCAATTGGCTGCCGCGTTCGCCCACAAATATACAGTCAATTCACTTTACAGTGCGTTCTGTGAAGCGCTTTGGGACGTCCTCCCGACGTGAAAAGCGCTATATCAAATGCAAGGATTATTATTATTATTATTATTCTAGAAGCGCTTTGAGACGTCTCAACGACGTGATAAGGCACTATATCAAATGCAAGATTTATTATTATTATCATATAATTAACCTCCTCAATTAGTGTCGAGTAAAAATCAACATGAACTTTGATTTTTAAATGACACTAATTGAGGAGGTCAATCCTCTGTAGTGCCATTTAAAAATCAGCCATAAAGTATTAACTGGAAGCAATTTTATCTACTACGTGTCTAGTCTGCAGACTTAAAGCCCAGAAGTTGAAATGCGTTCGCAAATGATTCTTTAACTCTTGCACTGCAGGTAAGGGGTCATGGAATTGTAAACGTTAACAGCACAGCGTGCAGATCACAGTGAATGTGTCCGTCCTACAGGTGGTGCCATGGTGCAATCAGGTGAATTCCAACACCAGGCACCAGAAAGCAGGAACTGTGGCCGATTTTCCACCCTCCCAAAAACACCCTCCCGACTAAGACCCGGACACCTCTCAAGCAGAGTCACCAACTCAACCCGGCGCGCCTGTGAAGATTACGCTAGCGATGATAATAATAATAATCATACATCTATTTCTGCTTCAATTTTGCTCATCTCCTCAGAGTAATACGGCACCTTCACAAGCAGAGAGAGTTATTCGATGAAGAAAATGTATTTGGTTTGCCGACCATAAAGGTTGGTGACCACATCATCGTGTATTATTCATTGAACACGGTTGGTTGCTCCAGATGGTATATTGCAAACGTGATACTGAGCTACTGGAACCCTGTAGCTCAGGGGTTAGAGCGCTCGCCTCGCAAGCGAGAGACCTGGGTTTGACTCCCGGCAGGGGGCGAAACCTTGAGCAAGTTTCCTTACTCCACACGCCCGATAATAATCCCTCAGGACAAAAAAATAAACGAATGAATAATTTGGTCACTTCAATCCACGACTGTTTGTGGGACGCTGCTGTGCGCAATTGGCTGCCGCGTTTCGCCCACAAATATACATACGGTCAAGTCACTTTACAGTGTATTCTGTGAAGCGCTTTGAGACGTCTCGAAGACGTGAAAAGCGCTATATCAAATGCAAGGATTATTCTTATTATTATCTTTTGCGTTACCAAAAGAGGGCAATGTTCTAAAAACTATAGGTTATTAGGTCGGCTTATAGAAGAAAAAAACTGGAGAGACCCTGGAATTTTAAAGTGTCTTATAGTGTTCAACATGTCAAGGCACTTACCCCAATTAATGATAATAATACTACTTGCATTTGACATAGCACCTTATCATTTCGTCGAGTTGTCTAAAAAGCGCATCACAGGACATACCGTGCATTTTGTGGGCAAAACGTGGCAGCCAGTTTGCACGCAGCAATGTCCCCCAAACAGCCATGGAGTAAGTTTGGGGGGGATTATTGGCCAGAGCACCGAGAGAGAGAGAAACGCCCTTCTCTTTTCAAACAGTGCAGTGGACGTCCACCTGAAACAGGCAGACGGGACCTCGGCTTGACGTCTGATCCAAATGGTGTCACCTCCGACAATGCGACACGGCCCCCAGCACTGCACTGGAGGGTCAGCTTAGACTTTGTGATTCGACCTTGAGTCCTTGAGAGTCCGACCTACCACCGAGCCAGGCTGAACACACAATGATCGTCAAGTGCAGTGACTGTGTTCTTGAAGGCTCGGCCAATGACACTTTATGGAGAGCTGCGCTCACATTGGTGTCATGCCTGGCTCAGTTGGTAGCACTCTCACCTCTGAGTCAGCTGGTCGTGGATTCATGCCCCCATGTTGGGACTTACCTAAACTCGCTTAGTCTAGGCTGAACACTCCAGTGCAGTGCTGAGGGCATGTTGCGTTGTCAGAGGTGCCGTTCCTTTGAACAAGCGAATGACCGATTGGCTTAGGCGCTGTTGTCTTGACAAATCACACAATGACTTGACCGTGGTCGCGGGAAGGGCTTTTGACATGTCCTCCCGTCCCGAAGTGAAAGGCGCTATGTCAAGTACAAGGGATGATGTTAGGAACGCCTCTCTCAATCGGTGTCCTCTCGCAATCAGGATAGTCGATACCTTGGGTTTGAGTCTTCTGTGAAGCACAACACCTCCAGCAATGTAGGGCTTTGCCCCGATAACCCCTGAACCTCATATTGCCAACGTGGGCTTGTATCCAACAACGACGACAACCTCACGCAGGTAGCATGCCAGAGCGCTAGACGCTGTACGACTATGAACCTGGGCGTGCTATCGACCGAGCCAACGTGACACATACTCAGCAGCAGTGGGAAACCACAGGTGATAAGAAACAAACGTCACAAAAACAAAGGACAAAGGGGGAATCTGCCAGCAATATCCAAGTCAAAAAACACAGCACACAAAGGCACTGAAACTTTTCACTGCACCACGTGCTGCTCCAGGGGTGTTCACCGTGGGAGGACCTTCTATTAAAGTGTTGACGCACTACATGTTACACCCACTTCCCGCCACCCTTCTCACCGCCAGCCCCCACCCCCCCCCCCACCTCCCCCCCCCACACTCGCTCAAACACCACACATACAAACGCCACCTCCACATATCCAACATACATAACACCAACACACACACACACACAGTGTGCAACTGTGTCAAACCTAAACAGCTATGTGGTTGGTATCGTGCCAGTGATGTTAATGTTTAACACGGTGGTTTACCATAGTTAAGTGGTTGTTGCGCTCACTCGCTGTTTATTAAACAAAGACGGACGGCTCACCTACACTCCACAACAGCAGCACCAGCAGTCCAACTGGAAGTGTGATTCCCAATAATCTCATGCTTACTCTCGGATGTGATAACAATATCTCACGGTGTCCCCGAGAGTGTGGCCCTTATCTGCATTGGAGTTCTACCTTACGGCTTAGATGTCACTCCGAGATAAACGTTGGAAGTGCGACGGAGGAAGATTCTAATCACTCCGAGTCATTACCCGCATGAAGGGCCCCTCTATAAATGCTTAATAATAATAATAACAATCGTTGCATCTCAAAGCGCTTCACAAAACATACTGTAAAGTGAATTGATTGTGTATTTTGTGGGCGAAACAAGGCGCAATATCAAATGCAAGGTTTATTATTATTATTATTATTAGGTCTTGTTTCTTGGGGAAACCAAGCAGGCGATTTGCTCAAACACACACACACACACACAGGGAAAGGTCCCACAAACAGGGGTTGGAGAAGCCAGTGACCAAATTTATCTCTCTCTCTCTCTCTTTCTATAAGGAGGTGCTGCAGCACTGATTATGCTGTGAATTTTTCGTCGGTGACATCAGACCCTAAGCAGCTTCTTATTTCCCAGTAACCGAATAATTTCTCTGATTCTCAGTTGCCTGAAATGCAAAAGGGAAAGTGGGAAAAATTCCTACAGTGGAAAGACCCCTTTCTCACTCATTCCCTCCCCCAGATGTGCTGACTGACTGCCCATCCTCCTGATTTCCAGGAACAATTCTCTGATCTGGTGACATGTGTCACCAGATCCACATTTAACCCTCACACCCCCACTCCTGTCTTGAGTTCAGCAACAAACCGAGAGCAAAGAACCATACAATTCTTAAAATAAAACAGATACACTATAGACACACACACACACTACAATTTGCACTGCACACATACTGCACTTTTCACACACACACTGCATTTTACGCACACACTGCACTATATATATATATATATATACGCTTTGCAAGTGAGAGACCTGAGTTCAATTCCAGGCAGAGGGCGAAACCTCGGGCAAGTTTCCTTACTCCACACAGAGCCTAATAATAATCCCTCCAAAACCAAAAACAATAATAAATTGGTCATTTTCAATCCACGACTGTTTGTGGGACATTGCTGTGCGCAATCGGCTGCCGCGTTCGCCCACAAATATAGAGTCAATTCATTTTACAGTGTGTTCTGTGAAGCGCTTTGGGACGTCCTCCCGACGTGAAAAGCGCTATATCAAATGCAAGGATTATTATTATTATTTATTATATATATACATATACACACACACACACACACACAATGCACTTCAGGCACACTTTATACACACCCTATAATTTTACGCCCCATGAGAAACAGATGGTGTATTTGCAAAGAGCCAAATGCAAAGCAAAGTCAAGCAATGTGTGTGTGTGTGTGGTTTTTTTTGCTTCCTCTTAGTTGAAAGCGAAAGTGAAAGGTAAAAGCAAATAAAAAACACACACTGCACTACACTTGGGGCCAATGTAACTTTGCGAGTGGAGTGAATGGCGCAGACAGTCAGACTCTTCAGCTCTGAGAAGGGACCATGATTCGCTTTGACCTGCAGTCTTTCCTCCCCAAAGGACCCAAGAAGAAGAGGAGAGCTCAGAGGGGATGCGATATGTGTGGAGGGGAATGGGACCTCGGTGTTGAGAGCTGCCTGTGACCCACATACCCCCACAGTCTGTCCACGGGTTCATCTCCTACTCCCCTATGGCTCTGCTCATTGCACTCCAACCTCTGCTGCTGCTGCTGCTGTGGATATTCCCATCACAAGCCACCGACTCCGTGCTCTCAGGTGGGTGTCCCTGTCCCTGTCCTTGTACCTGTCCCTGTACCTGTCCCTGTCCCTGGAGCTGTACCTGTACCTGTACCTGTACCTGTCCCTCTACCTGTCCCTGTCCCTGTCCCTGTACCTGTCCCTGTCCCTGTCCCTGTACCTGTACCTGTACCTGTACCTGTCCCTGTCCCTATACCTATACCTGTCCCTGTCCCTGTCCCTGTACCTGTCGCTGTCCCTGTACCTGTCCCTGTCCCTGTCCCTGTCCCTGTCCCTGTACCTGTTCCTATACCTATACCTGTCCCTGTCCCTGTCCCTGTCCCTGTCCCTGTCCCTGTCGCTGTCCCTGTACCTGTCCCTGTCCCTGTCCCTGTCCCTGTACCTGTCCCTGTACCTGTCTCTGTGCTGTGCAGTGCGTAACTGTGCGCTTTAACATCCACTGTGATTCACACTCACACTGTCATTTACACTCACACACTGTCATTTACACACATTCACACACACTCATTCATACACACACACTCATTTACACACACACTCATTTACACACACACTCATTTACACACACACTCATTTATACACTCACAATGTCATTCACACACACACACTGATTTACACACACTCATTTATACACTCACAATGTAATTTAGATACACTATAATTTACACACTAATTTACCTACACTAATTTACACACACGCTGTCATTTACACACACACATTGTCATTTACACACACACTATAATTTAAACACACCCTGTAATTTACGCACTGTAATTTACATACACTGTAATTTACATACACTGTAATTTACACACACACTGTAATTTACATACACTGTAATTTACATACACTGTAATTTACATAAACTGTAATTTACACACACACTGTAATTTGCACACACTGCAATTTACACACACATTGTAATTTACATACAATGTAATTTACACACACACTGTAATTTACATACAATGTAATTTACACACTGTAATTTACACACACTGTAATTTACACACACACTAATTTACACACACACTGTAATTTACACACACTAATTTGTGGAGTCCTGTACCTCAGTGGTTAGAGCACTCGGTTTGCAAGTGAGAAACCTGAGTTCAATTCCAGGCAGAGGGCGAAACCTTGGGCAAGTTTCCTTACTCCACACAGAGCCTAATAATAATCCCTCCAAAACCAAAAACAATAATAAATTGGTCATTCTCAATCCACGACTGTTTGTGGGACATTGCTGTGCACAATTGGCTGCCGCGTCCGCCCACAAATATACAGTCAATTCACTTTACAGTGTGTTCTGTGAAGCGCTTTGGGACGTCCTCCTGACGTGAAAAGCGCTATATACAATGCAAGGATTATTATTATTACACACACTGTAATGTACACACATTAAATTACACACACTGTAATTTACGCAAATACTGTAATTGTACAAACTGCAATTTACACACATGCTGTAATTTACACCCACACTGTAATTTACACACTAATTTATACACACTGTAATTTACACACTGTAATTTACACACAGTATAATTTACACACACTAATTTACACACACTGTAATTTACACACAGTATAATTTACACACACACTGATTTACACACTGTAATTTACACACATACTGTAATTTACACACTAATTTACACATACACTAATTTACAAACACTAATTTACACACAGTGTAATTTACACACACTGTAATTTACACACTAATTTAAACACTGTAATTTACATACACACTGTAACTCGCATACTAATTTACACACACACACTGTAATTTACACAAACACTGTAATTTACACACACTACTTTACACACACCCTGTACTTTACACACAGACTGTAATTTACACACACACTAATTTACACACACACTAACTTACACACAAACACACTGTAATTTGCACAAACACTAATTTAAACACACTACTTTATACACACTACTTTACACACTAATTCACACAGAAACTAATTGACACACATGCACTGTAATTTACACACATACTAATTCACATACACATTGTAATGTATATATACATACTGTACTTTACATACACACTGCACTTTACACACCTACAATTTGCATACACACACTGCACTTTACATGCACACTACAATTTACATATATACACACACTGTATTACATACACTGCACTTTACACCCTCACGACACATTACAGACACTTTTACACATTACAGACACTTTACACGAACACTACAATTTGCCCATACACACTGCCATGTACGTAATTTACACACACACTACAATTTACACACTGCACTTCACACACTACACTTTACACGCACAGTACAATTTGCACACACCGCACTTTACATCCAAATGTATGCTACAATTTACGCACACAAACACACGCTACAATTTACACCCTGCAGTTCACACACACACAAACACCACAATTTACACACACACTACATTACACGCACACTGCATATTACACACACATACACTGCTATTGCATCTAATATCTGATGTAATACCTGGTCCAAAACTGATTGCCTTTCACGATGAAAAAAAATTATGATTGTTTTAAAAAGGGGAAAAAAATGCAAGTGCTCTTCTTAAAGTTGTGTGTGTGTGCGAGAGACCTGGGTCTCTGTGTCCCACAAACAGTTGTGGATTATTTGCATTTATTTGAATTATACTGCGTGTGCATTTAACGACTGCATTCAGTTACGAAAGCAGAGTGTAGATGAGTGATTAAATCGGATTTTATATGACTTTCGTAAGTCTGCACACGTTATCGTCAGTCAACATTACCGAAACTGATCTTTCAGCACCAGTTGATTTGTCTAGAAATTGTAAGGTCTGGTTAGACAGGCTAAACCTCTGGTTTGCAGTCATACACGTGTTGTCCCTCTCGCTCGCTGTCTAAATTCCTCCTCTAGATAAGCAGTAAAACTCGCATACATCTTGTACACTTATACGCTTTGTGGAATCCTTTAGCTCAGTGGTTAGAGCATTTGTTTCGCAAGCGAGAAGACACAGTTTCAGTTCCCACGCAGGGCGAAACCTTAAGCAAGTTTCCGCACTCCACACGTCTCTGTTTACCAAGCAGTAAGTAGGAACCCGTTTGTTAGTCGATTGGCGGAGCACTTTTTTCGTGGTAATAAGGACGCTGCTGTGCACAATTGGCTGCTGCGTTCCTCCCACAAAATAAACAGTTAATTCACTTTACAGTACATTCTGTGAAGTGCTTTGAGACGTCTCAATGACAATGATAAGGCGTTGTATCAGGGTGCACGGATTTTTATTGTTATTGAAATAATTGGATAAATGACAGCTGCCGAAGGACTTCAGGGGAGATGGGGTCTCACTTGATAAACAAGAGCCATATGTCCCAGTCTGTGTATCCAGACTGCCACAAAACAGTACAATTTACGTTTACACAGCGTCTTTTACGTCAGGAGGATGTCTCAAAAGTATATGACCCTGTTGTGGTTGTGTGCTCAAGCTAGGGCGGGAGAGAATGTGGGGGGGGGAGGGGGAAGATGACCGGAAACACGGTCAAAGGGGTAGGTCTTGAGCAAAATCTTTAACGAGGCAATAATAAATAATGTAACAAGGGACTCCTTTTATAGACTCATCACAGTGAGTTCCGATGCCAAAATAAATGTAGTGAATTATTAACTGGAGAAAGGGGAAAACCTTATAAGACGTGGATTGCTAATGAGCTAGGAGTTTCCTTACTCCACGAGCCTCTGTTTACCTCGCAGAAAGTAGATTGGTGGATCGATTATTCCGGGGGTAATAAGCCCTCCAAAAATAAATAAATAATAATTTGCTCACTCAGTCCACGACTGTTTGCGGGGACGCTGCTGTGCGCAATTGGCTGCCGTGTTTCGCCCACAAAATATGCAGTCGATTCACTTTACAGCATATTCTGTGAAGCGTTTTGAGACGTCTCGACGACGTGATAAGGCAGTATATCAAATGCAAGGATGATTATTATTATTATTATTATTATTACCGACTGAAGCAGGGTGACACACCAAGGGAGCAAGGAGTAGTCAAAAGAAGTTAGATACATTCGGGGTCGATGCTGATGGGGCAAACTGTTGCTGGATTCACAAACTACAATAAATAATCCTTAAAGTCAGGGCAAGGTACATATACTTACAGATAACACCAAATTGGGTGACCTGACTCTAATCCTAACCCTCAGCAATCAGAGGAAAGACACCAAAGACCTTACAATGAGAGTTGACAGTTATGGGCTGATCGTTGGCAAATGAAGTTCAATGCATTTGGATGCAGGGTACTGATCAGAGGAAGGAACAGTGATAGATACATGTATGCCACGGATAGAAGAGAACTTGTCAAGGGGAATGTCAAGAGTGAGTGATGAATCCACTAAAGAGAATTCATCACCCATCGTATCCAAGCAACAATAATAAAAATAATAATGATCCTTGCATTTGGTACAGCGCCTTTCACATCGGTAGGACATCCTAAAGCTTTTCACAGCGGAGTGGAGTGGCTGTGTATTTGTGTGCGAACGTAGCAGTTGCGCACAGCAATGGCCTACAAGAGGCCACGGAGCGAGTGATCAGTTTTATTTGGGGGGATTGTCGGCCAGGACACCGGGAGAGGGAAACTCCCTTCTCTTTTCAAATAGCGCCGCGGGATCATTAATGTCCACCTGAACAGGCAGACGGGACCTCGATTTAACGTCTCACCCGAAGACGGTGCCTCCAACAATGCACTGTACCTCCAACACACCCCCAGCGCTGTATTGGAGGCTATGTGAGTTCAAGCCCCACAATTTTCTGACTCAGGGACGTGAGTGCTACTAACTGGCACATAACTGGCACCAAAACAGTATGGCTATCAAGCAAGTTAAACAGGATGCTAGCGTCTTTGCCAAAATAATTTTAATTTCCCACATATGATGCTCAAGGTGTGCCGTTCTCTGGTCAAGTGATTGTGATCACATTTCGCAAAGGTCACAGCAACCCAAGTTGACAACTAGTGTTGTGGATTACGC